CGATACCGACGCATTCATTCGTGTGCCCATGTATGTATGTGTGTGTCAGATTACGTGTTGAGCTTGGTTGAGTTTGAGGCGCTGATGCACCCCAGCAAGGATGAAGACCTCATGAAACTCGAACTGGACGAAATACTCAACGTGAGCGACCGACCGACCGAAAGCACAGATGCAGCGACACAAAGGCGCACTTGGTTGTTTCCTCTATGCAGGCACAAGATAAGGACTATGACAGGAAAATCAGCTGGGAGGAATTCAGGAGCGACCAGGGTCGGCCAAGCAAGGCAGTTTTTCGCCCGTGTGCAGGATGTTGCATGTTCCCTCTCTGTCTGTCTCCCCGGCGAAAGTAGGCAGGCACGGATGGAAAGGCGAAGGTGAGGAGCCCCATGGTGCCTGTGTGTGTGTACGTCAGGTTGCGATGGGAAGCTCGTGTGCCACGGTAGCTGCCGGAAGCTTCCGACGCGGAAGTGTCTGCCATCAACGAAATTTCCCTTCAAGTGCAGGCAAGTCTCCCCAGGTGGCTCTCATCATTGAATCGATTGCTGCCCCAATGTAATCCAAATCTGTGCAGCTGCAAGTTTGTGGGGCTGGCCCTGGCGCAGGCCAAGAAGTGAAACAATCGATGAACCAGATGACGACCTCACTGCGCACTCAACGGCCGTGACGCGTGCATGTTTGCTGACGCTCGCCTTTCTGTCTGAATCGTCATGCGTCGATGTCCACAGTATCATTGGTCGCCATGATTCTCCCGCCCGCCCATGTGGGCGTCCCGAAGACGCAGCCAACACGGACAGAAATGCGGGAGGCACATTTCTGCCCGGATCAGCCACGCCTTCCAGACGCACACATAGGCAGGGCAGCCAGTCGAATGAAGAGCTCTCTCAAAGTTGAACGAGCAGCACAGCACGCACAGTACGGAACAATGTGTTCAGACAGACAGTCCACCTCAAGCAAGCCTTGTCTTCTGCCCGTGCATCCAATCACAGCCATCTCCCGCGTGCACACCCGCCGAACGATGGCACATGCAGTGAGCAATGTCGCTCACTCCCGCGCATCGGTCGACCTGAGCCCACGCTGTGGACATGGCTGCACATGAATCACACGGACAAGATAGGAAACCCAGTCGATTCCCCCTCTCTCACCCACCCAGGTAGTAACTTACGTGACGCCTAATTGCGTCATGACACTCCCAAGACAAGACCAACACAAACCGGGCCTGCCCTCCCTCCCTCCCTCACCGGCCGCTTTCATTTGGCCTCAATCTTTTTGTCTCCCTCCCCAATCGCCTTCCCCCCCTCGGGCAGCGCCTTGCCTGCGAGGCTGCCATACGGCCCCGACGCAGGCTGAGTGAGCGACAGCGTCTTGGTGTGGAGGAACTCGAGATCTGCGTCGAGGACCTCGGGGTTCTGCGCGACGGTGGGGATGAGGGCCTCCCTCAGCAGCAGGTGTGTCTGGCAGTCGTACTTCTCCCAGGCGTGCTGCAGGGTGAAGTTGGTGTAGCGTGAGAGGGGCTCGGCGGTGGGAGGGGCGGCTCTGTGCTTCTGGAAGGCGCGCTGCCACCGAAAAATGTGAGCGAACTCCTTGGCCAGCTCCTTGCCTGCCATCTCTGCATGGAACGAACGACACACACTAGAGCTCAGGCGGGTGTGCTCTGCAGGGGAGATCTCACCCCTCCCTTCTCACCTGAAGATCTGAGCTCCCTTCAGCCGGTCAAAACCATTTGATTGACTTCCAGTGGTTCCCGCAGCGAAGCTCGCGCCGCTGAGAGAGGAGAAAAGACCCTATTCCGATGCCTTTTTCAAGAGCAGCGCTGCATCCAAGAGTCCGTCTGTTCGCCATCACAATCTTTCTCGTTCTGTTGCGGCCGCTGCCGGCGCAGCCGACTGGAGAAGAGGAGGATGAGTCGATGCCCTTCAACAGCGCCAGTGCGGTGCTTGGGCTCTCGTCTGACGAGCTGAAGGACAGGATAACCAAGATCTTCCCTCTGATTGACACGGACGGCGACGGCGTGCTGTCGCGGGATGAGATAGTCGAGTGGCTGAGGAGAATCAACGAGAAGGTGACGCAGCGGCAGACGCGGCTCGAATATGACGCGATTGACAAGGACAGTGACGGCAGGGTGACGCTGGCGGAGGTGCGGGAGTCCTACTACGGCGAGAATCAACACGAAGACGATGAAGCCATGGTCAGTCATAGTCGCGCAGTGCACTCATTCGTCCCCCTGCGTGTACATGGTTATCCTCGTTTGCTTTCTATCAGGCGGACGTCAAGAAGAGATTTGAAGTAGCTGACAAAGACCAGGGTGAGATTCGCCCCGCGCGCACCAACAGCGGGCCGATACCGACGCATTCATTCGTGTGCCCATGTATGTATGTGTGTGTCAGATTACGTGTTGAGCTTGGTTGAGTTTGAGGCGCTGATGCACCCCAGCAAGGATGAAGACCTCATGAAACTCGAACTGGACGAAATACTCAACGTGAGCGACCGACCGACCGAAAGCACAGATGCAGCGACACAAAGGCGCACTTGGTTGTTTCCTCTATGCAGGCACAAGATAAGGACTATGACAGGAAAATCAGCTGGGAGGAATTCAGGAGCGACCAGGGTCGGCCAAGCAAGGCAGTTTTTCGCCCGTGTGCAGGATGTTGCATGTTCCCTCTCTGTCTGTGCCTGTGTGCGTGTGTTATGTAGATGAAGATGTGAAGGTGCTTGAGGACGAGTTTCGGCAGTACGATCGCGACGGCGACCAGTACATAGACGAGGACGACATACGGGCGCTGCTCGATGACCAGGGGCCCGAAACAGTCGAAAAGGACGCAGATGAACTCATCGCAGACACGTTCGGACCAGGTCAGTGCCTGTCTGTCTGTCTGGATGGATGGATGGATGGCACTGTCTTGTGTTGTGTTATGCTGTGTGCAGAAGCGTCATCGATCTCGCTGACGTCGCTGCTTGAGAAGCTTGACGCGGTAGTGCAATCGAGGCTGACGGACTACGGGGAGCTCCTGCGCTTCCCTGCCGAATACGACCTCACCGTCTCGTTCGACGAACCTATCATCCAACATGACGAGCTCTGACCAATGGCGGCTCTCGGGCCTCCTTCCGTTCTGTGTATTTATTTGTCATCGTGGCCTGGCCATCGGTCGTGTCGTGTGTATCGGTGTGCTGTCTGTCCGAACGTGTCGTTTTTGCCAATGGCGGGCTGGGGGTGGCAGAGAGGGAGGGAGGAAGGGAGGCAGGAGTGCATGAGGTTTGTGCAGCTGGTTCTTCGTCCTGTCCGTGTACCTACCGACTGATGTAGGTGCGGTCCTGTGAATATGTGTGGCTCTGCGTGTGACATCCAATCTGCCTGTCTGCCTGTCCATGGGTGATTTTAACGCATTCTCCTGTCTCTCAGCCAGGAAGCATCTTGGCGCACACCTGGCCAAATGAATCGCATTGGTGAATCGCATGCTGAAGTGGCCCACGAAGCCCCCACCACGAGAGACGGGAACAGAGAATGGCGTGCCAGTGGACCGACAAGCGGCCGGCCAGAGAGCCTGTAGATGTGAGTGATGCCCTGTCTGACAGCCTGATGCGAAGGAGGACCACGAGCTCAGCGGAAGGGGATACTTTTGATGACATCCCGGCATCGCCAGGACCCAGCTCGGATGTCAGCTGCAGTTCAATGACGCTTCCCATTGCTGCCGTCGGGCTGCAGCCCTTCCCCGAGAGCGGTGTGCCGGGCCCCATCAGCTGCATCCCGCTGCAGCATCTCGCTGGCGGCCTTCCTGGAGGGGCGCAGTACATCCTGCTGCAGCCTGTGGCCTTCAACCCCGAGACGGCCCACCAGATGTCACAGTCCGTCTCACTCTCCAATCTGAGCGTCTCTGCCTCCGTCGATTCCGGGTATGATGCTTGCTTTGACGGCGGCGAGTCAAACGAGCTCGAAGACCTCATTGACCTATCATCGCCTGGAGATGATTCCACTCTGACGCCAGCCCCTCGCGAGCCGCCTCCCCCTGCGGCCGATGATCAGTTTGTTGAGTTTGCAGCTAGTGCATTGGGGGTCAGCCTTGAGCAGCTGCAAAACAGTCCCTGCTGGAGGCAGATGGAGCTGCAAGACATGTACGCCCAGGCGCTGAAGGAGGGACGGCTGGGGAAGCAACAGACCAACAAAAACAGCAAAGCCCGCCCTGTGGTGAATCGGCTGCCTCTCGAGACACTGGCGCGCCCCCCCAGGCTGACGAGCAGGGCCGCTTATCAGGGCGTGAGACCGTTCGCCGCCTGAGCGCAATCGAGAGTGAAGGCAGCCTGGTGTTCTCTCTCACTTCGGGCAGCAGTGACCCGGACACTCGCTCGGACTCCCCAGCTACAAGGTCGCCACGAGGCCACAGCCGACAGGCAGCAGGAGCACCAGCAATCAGCCGCCCGTCCTGCTCATCGTCTGCTGCCCCTCCAAAGCCCCCCCATCATCTCGCCACCTCTCATTGGCGATGCGTCAGAGTCCGCCGCCTCATGGCGCACGCACCCGTCCTCCATCGACTCCATCCCACTGCTGCCACCGCCCAAGAGGAGGACACAGCCAAGGCCGCCTCCCTTGAATACCAACAAGACCATTAGGCGGGTGCCTGATAGTGGACCGGGAGGCCTCGAGCACAGAGAGAAGAGAGAGGCTTCACCTTGGATGGGCCTCACCCACACATCCAAGAGAGGACACCTTGCTGTTGTCTCGAGTGGCGAGGCTTGCCATCCGCCGCCTGCTGATGAAGTGCTGCCGAGGCGCTACAAGAGGCTTACGCACAACAGAGCGCCAGAGGCGACGGTGGCGGTCATCAGCAGCTGCGGTCCTCCTAACTCCCCCATCTTCAAGGACTACCGAGACACGCCAAACGAGTCGCAAAACCACGGCCGTGTGCTGCCCCTCCGATGGAGCAGAAACCAACTGCAGGGCGGATCGAAGATATTTCAGAAGATATTCCAACACGGACTGCAGTCCCTGCAGGCATCTCCACTGGCAGCATCAGCTTGTTCGCCATCCACCAGCCCCACCCTTAGCCACACGTCATTCAACTCGCCCCAGGCTGCCCAGCCTGAGGTCTACGCGCCTTACGCCACCCTCCGGAAGCAGAGACACAGAAACATCGCCCCACACGCACCCAGCACGAGGCCACTCAAGCAACAACAACAATACCATGACCAGCCGCAGCAGCCGCAGCCGCAGCCGGAAAATGAAGCGATGTTTGCACCCCTGCCCCCTCCCCGAACGGCGCCCGTCCCTGTGAGCCAAACCCCTGTCATCAGCAAGAAGTCTGGCCATAAACCAGTGCAACGCAACGCCACGCAATCCTCAGCCCCCCCTCGCGCAGCGAAACACTCCCCGATGAATCGCAGCCAGTCGGCTTCCCGACAAAAAAGACGAGACAACAGCACCAGCAAGCGAGCTCCACAGCCACAGCCACAGCCAATGCCGGTGCCAATGCCGGCGGTGCGCCACTGCATCCCATCGCTGCCGCCTGCCGTGGAGGCGCAGCCTTCATCTCCATTGTGGTCGTCGCCACGGGAGGACCTGCCGAGGCCAAGAGAGAGGGGGGCAGGTGCAGCTGCAGCTGCAGCTGCAGTGGCAGTGGTGGGTGGCTGCTGTGAGCCGTGTCCGATGGGCAATGAGCAGGGGCGGTTTGAGGCCACCTGCTGGGAGACCAAAGCAGCTGAGACAAAGGTTGCGGAGGCACCGAAGAGAGACGATTCGCCTGACAGTGAGCAAGAGGACGAGAAGAGGATGGCAGAGAGGGGGAGGGATGTTCATTCATCCATGAATTCAGCATGGTTGGTGTGGAGTCGCATTCCCCCTCTCCCCCCCTCCCCCCCAAGACAGCAGCAGCAGCAGCACCACCAGCAGCGGGCCGCTCCTGCTCCGCCTCCTGCGCGTCCCGTGCGTCCATTTCCGTTTGTGTCTCTGCCGCCGCGCCGTGTGCTGCAGATTCTTTCCTGCCTGCGCACAGGAGAGCTCTTCGCACTCAAATGCGTCAAGAGAAGCTTCGCCACTGGGTGCACAGGTGGGGCGGACCAGACAGGTGCGTGTCTGCAGGTGACATGGAGAGTGTGTGATTGTGTGTGATTGTGTGTGTCAGTGCGTGATGGGCCTTGCCTGCGACACGTCTTCCCGAATTTGGCCTTCAGGTACCTACATATGGCTGATGAGATATGTGTGGATGGGAGCACCTGCCTCAGTCATGACCTGCCTGTCTTCAGGGAGGGGAGTCTGCCCGCCGAGCCACACCGACTCCTCGATCGTGCGTACCTGCCTGCTGTCGTCTGCATTGAGGTGTGGATGCCTGTATGTGTCCGTGTGTGTGCTCGCGGAGAGATGGTCATGGGTTTCTGTTTCTGTGTGCTTGTCTGCAGCTGTCGAGTGAGTCACTGCCTCAGCCCTTCGTCGAGGAGCTCCTGCGTCGCCTAAGCCTCACCAGCAAACTGCAGATGCACAGCATCACTGTCACAGGTCAGCCTGGCTGGCTGGCTGGCTGGCTGCATCGTGCCTCTCCCATATCATGGTGATGTCTCTCCGCTCGTGCTTCGCTTCAGTCCCGCTGTCTCAAGGGGCGCTTTCACACCTGTCGGCTGTCATCACGCGAAGCCCACAGCTGCACACCTTTGTCTTCTCCGGTACACACAGCCAGGAAGAGTGACAATGAAGTCACGTTACTAATCTCTTGGTGACGATGCACACGTCTCTCTGCGGCAGGTGCTGGGCACACCCACCACGACAACGAGCCGCGCTTCCCCACTATGCTGTCGGATGCCCTCCACCACTGCCGGCGGCTGCGTCGGCTCGAGCTTCCGGACAACGACATGGGAGCGGCAGACATGAGGCGAGTGAGGGATATCGTTCGCCGCTGTGGGAAGACTCTTGAGACACTCGTGCTGAGAGGCAACCCCATCGGTGAGCGAGACACAGACGCAGGGGGAGAACGAAACAAGGAAGTTTCGGTATTTGACAGGTTGTGGAGGGATTGAGGAGCTGTCAGCGGGCATTGACAAGCAGACATGTCGGAACCTCACTCTCCTTGATATTCGCAGGTCAACATGACAGCTCGCCTCGACATTCACACGCAAAAACACTTGTCTCTCTCTTCGCAACACGTGCGGCATCGAGCTACGGGGCCTGCAGCGACTGCTTGACCTGTTTCTTGATGATGATGATGACGGTCGTCACGCCGAGTCGTCGCATCGTCAGAGCACCCCCACAGTGCTGATGGAGGGCAACTTTCGGGCCATGTCTCGCTCGTCGCTGGCGCCGCTCCTGCCCTCGCTTGAGGTGTTGGACGGGCGTAACCATGACCATGAGCAGGCCCAGTGATCATCATGACTGTACGTGTGTACGTGTGTGCGTGTTTTGCGTTGGGTAGGGGGAGGGGCGATGTTGTTGAGCTATCTGTCACGTCTGTAGAGGGATTTGCTGATGAGTGGTAGCCAGTAGACAACAGAGGGTTGTTGAGTGACTGCAGGTAGGCAGGTGATACATGTGATGCTTCACGAACGAATGGCATGCACGATCGAGTCAGTCGAGTGTGCGTGTATGTGTATACCTTTGCAGTCAGTGACGTGCAGCACGGACACATACACGAAGGTAGACACGAACACACGTACACATAAAAGGAGTTGGTGACGACTTGTCGCGTCAAAACTGTGAGCCGTCACGGAACGGATGACCGCATGGAGGGCACAAAACGCAAAACCGACAGCGAACTATCTGTCGCTGCATGGTACGTGTCACGTCAAGACCGGTACACCACAGGTCGCCATCACACACACACATCCCCACAAACATTGCGATCGGCACATATCACGGCAAGGGAGGGAGGCGGGGAAAAAGCCCCTCCATCTGTCAGTCACAGCTGCCCCCCACTGTCCAAGAGCACGTCACCACTCCCACCCCCATCGCCCACCTCTGGTGCTGGCGTTGTCAAGTCCTCTGATCGATCTTCCCATGGACGATGCCCCCATGGGTACGCCAGCCCAAAGTACCTCTCCAGCACCCGATCAGCCATCTGCAGGCTCCCCTCGGCCCACCCCTGAACGTCACTGTAGGCCTCATTCACCAGATAGATCGGCACACCGGCCGAAGCGAACGGGTCGGCTGCCAGGTCGGCCAGGGGAGCCTCGCACGAGCAGCATGATCGTGAGTGGCACTCCGCCGCGCCCCACCGGTGCCACCCTGCGCCGTGGCCGCGCGTGTCGGGATACCACGAGGACAGGACGGCAAAGGACGGCTTCAGAGACAATGTTTGCTTGTAGAGGGAAAGCTGAAAGACATCACATCGAGGGGCAATTGTGTTGGGTGATGCAGGGGATGTGTTGGGTTCTGAATCGATGTGGGTACCGATTTGTTTTGCAGCCCCTCTCGGTGGAAATCAACCACCCTTCTGTGTGCATGGTCTAACAACAGGGCGCATCCCCGTGGCATTTGTCTGTGCGTCATCATTGTGTCTTGGTTTACCCAAGAAGAGTTGCCCCTCCGGGGTGTCGTGGTCGATGATGGTGTACGGCGCCCCCCTCTCGCGCTGGAAGCGCCGGAAGAACTGCACACACCACATGCATTCATGCATAGACACACAGGTGGATGGGATAGGTGATCGTCTGTTCGCACCCTTGCAGTCTCTCCCGCCTCGTCATGCTCATAGACCGCCAGAAGAAACCCATAGCACTCCTCTGTGGCGTTGGAGCCACCGCGGCATCTAATATGCCCATCATGGTATCGACCTACACACACACACACACACACAGAGGCATTCACCCACCCATCCGTGTCTGTCTGTCTGTCTGTCTGTCTGTCAATGCCGGCGCACCTTTAAGCAGCATGTGTTGGGAGTCCCCCTCCTGGCTGAAGTCGCCTCCCACCAGATGCAGTTTGGTCTGCCACCATGCGTCAGAGTAGTAGAGGTACAGCTTCGTCACCGTCTCCCCCTCAAGTGTATGCAGCGCCTTCCACCTCTCGACCGTCATCATCGTGGCCGGCAGATCGCTCTCGCGTAGCACCTCCAGCAACGGACGCACCGGCACGTTCAGGACCACGCGGTCCGCCCGCACATGAACGTCATTCGCAAAGGAAAGTGTGATGGGGCCCTCCTCTTCGCTAGACACATTCAGCCGAGTGAGCTTGTGTCGCGGGAAGGTCCTGATCCCCAGAGGGACGGTCTTGTTGACTAGTGTTTCCACCATGACGATCAGGCCGGCGTTGGCCCCATCGCTGTCGACGAGTTTGTAGCGCTGGCAGTCGAGAGGGTTGTAGCACGACACATTGAGACGTAGGGTTTCCTTCAATGCCCACATCGTCGGTGTGTGCGCCGGCCAGATGCGGTAAGCTCCCGGCTCAACCACAAGATCGCGATACTGTCCCAGGCCTCGCAACGACATGATGCGACCGCTGAACCACACCGCACGCGCGCACACACACGGTTCGTCCGATTGTAATGGCCGACTCTCCGTCTAGCTCACCCGAGTCTGCTGGTCATCTCGAACATGCAGATGTCTCTGCCAGTGTAGTTGCCTTCCTTGAGCAGCCGCCAGGCCACATACGCCCCGCCAATCCCCGCACCGACAATCGCCACCCGACACCCATCTGTGTCGGCCAGGTCCGACGAGGGCAGGTCTGCCGTCTTGCGGGGGCAGTAGGTGGGTCTGTGGGGATAGCTGCAATCCTCCTCGTAGCCCAGGGCGGCCAGCAGTGATGCCCTCGAGTACGGGAGGGCCTCATCTGGCCTCACGAAGAGAGAAGGGTGGGACGAGGGGGCATCGCAAGGGGCAGAGGGCGAGTACAAGTAACGGTTGACGAGAAGGAGCAGGCCGACGACTGCAGCATAGCAGCACGCACAGAGCAGCAGTGCAGAGTGCGGTGAGTCAGTCGATGCGCGTGGTTTGCTGGCTTACATAATATAGGCAAAGCAGCCAGATGGACCCTCCAATCTAGCCAGGATGGACATTGCCTCTCAAGTGGAGTGTCTGGCGTGGGCGGGCGTGGTTCATCGTCATCCCTGTCAACAGCGTCCACCGATGCATATGCAGCAGATGAGTCCTGGATCTTCATCTGGAAGTCGCCCCTGGCAGCCGACGGTGAAGACCTCATCCTTGTAAAAGCTTGTCCCTTCTCTCTGGCGGTAAGTGCGAGCTTGAAAGCGATCATACCCCACCTCCTTCCTCTCGTTTTGCCTGCTTGAGAGGCATCGTTCTCGAGTGCAGATCTTGAACAGATCTTCCTCGGAAAGCGAAGCAAAAAGCAGAGATGTCCCGCGCCAAACTCGCTGGCGCCGACCCAGCAGCCATCTTTCTTCGCATCGACGCATTCAAGGGCCAATACGAGTTTCTCAGCAACGACTATCCATCAGAGGTCGTCTTTGACCGTGTGCCCTTCAAGTCAGCGACCCACGCGATTCTTGCTGTGCGATTCTCGGGCAAGGCGGCGGAGATCTGCGAGTGCGAGACCGCCGCGGAGGCGATGGACAGAGTCAAGGATGCTCAGGTGAGTGGTGTGTGCGCTTGATTGACTGATTGATGCCGTGAATGAGTTTGGTGGCTATTTGGTACTGCTGCTGTTGGCTGCAGGAGAGGGACGACTGGGAGTCCGGTCGGCTCAAGTGGATGGAGCAGATCTTACGCGACAAGTTCAGGCGCTCGGCGGGTATGTAACAGATGAATCAAGGCAGGCACGCACAAACCAAACCAATCCCATGAGGTTCCTACTGCTCTGTGCACATACGTGTGTTGTGTTGTGTTTCCGTTGATCAGAGTTGCGGACCAAGCTGAAGGAGACGGGCGGCCGGCTGCTGGTGTGGGCCAACGCCAGCGATGCCTTCTTCGGTGAGGTGGACGGCCGAGGGCAGAACCAGCTGGGGAGGATACTCATGAGGATCCGCACTGACATCAGAAACGACACCGAGCTCGAGAGTGAGCAGACAACATGCCTGGGAGGGTGGATGAATGTCTGAGGGCCATGTGTTCTCTGTCAGCATGGCTGGCGCTGTGTCACGACCTGGAGGAGGACAACAATGCGCGGCCGCTGCTGCAGCTGATCGAGACGAAGCCTGACCACGAGAACCCACTGGGTGCGAACAGACCAGAGATCAGCATGTGTGTTGAATGGATGGATGGATGGATGGGTGGGTGTCCTGCACTGCTGCAGGTGAGCATGCGCTCGACGGAGAGCCGTACTTCTTTCTGGGCAAGAACCCCGAGACCTGTCAAGTCGTCGCTCTGCACCCCTCCATCTCCCGCACACACGCCCTCATCGCCCTCACAAAGGTCCGTGAGTGGGTTGTTCGTCACAACGGTTGTCTGTTCTCATCTCTCTGTGCGTGTGCATGGCATGGGTGTCTGTCTATGTGTCGCAGGCGGGTCCCGTCTTGATGGATCTTAACTCAAAGGCGGGCACCAAGCTGAACGGCGAGCGGCTGCCGCACCACCACGTGGGCTTCCCTCTCAAGACCTCCGACACCATCACTCTCGGCGCATCCACACGCTCATACCAAGTCAAGGTCAGTCTGCCAGAGAGAGAATGAGAATCAACGAGGTTCTGTCTGTCTGTCAATGTGTGTGTGGTCTGGCGGGTGTGTCAGGTGGACAGCGGCCGTGTGGTGGCCTATTTGGAATCGCGGCAGAAGGAGCTGCGGCGTGAGGTGCAGATGCTCGACAGGAAGATGCAGGACCCACTAGCAGCCGTCAAGGACGAGACCAAACAAGAGGCCACCGTACGCAGACAGACACGAAGCGACAGACAGACAGCCAGACAGACAGACAGACAGGTGCGCGCTGCGTCTGTGTGTGTGTGTGTGTGTGTGTGTGTGTAGATCTTTGTGGGCAATCTGCCCTTCACGACCACCAAGGACGAGATCACGGCCTTCTTCGAGGAATGCGGACACATCACGGTGGGTGGGTGGGTCACCGACACACAGCCTAAACGGCCTCTGCACTCGTGTGTGCGGTCTCTCTCATCTCAGGAGGTGCGCTTCCCTCCCCCCCGTGACAAGCCATCCGACGGCACCACCGCTGCACGCGGCATCGCCTTCATCACTTTCGACGTATGCCAGCGGCTGACAAAGCCCTCCAATAGCAACATGTCAGACAGGTCAAACGCTTCTTTCTGCGTCGGTTTGTGCAGACGCCGCTGGCCGCCAAGCGCGCGACAGGCATGGACGGCAAGCACATCGGGGGAGAGGCCGGGCCCGATGGCAAGATGAAAGGCGGCCGGAGAATGAAGGTGCGCTTGTGTGTGTGTGTGTGTGTGTGTGTGTGGACCAATCCACAGGTGACACATTGCCGTGCTGCTGGCTCGGTCTGCTTTGTCTTGTCTGTCGCTCGTCCAGGTGGACATGTCTGAGGGTCCGCGCCCCTCCAGACAAAGACCCCCCGACGCCAGGGACACCGACCGCCGCAGAGACAGAGACAGAGACAGAGACGACGGTCGACCTGCTCTGCACAATGGCAGGTGAGTGAGTGAGTGACACCGATGGATGGATGGATGACTTGCCCTCCATCCCACACACACTCATCAATCGCACCAGTGTTGCGTATGCCTTATGTTCAGGTCCGTGCGTGACGCTCCACGGGGGGACGACCGTGGTCAGCGGCGGGAGCCTCGTGAGGAACCACCACGCAGAGACCATCAGGACAGGCGAGAAGGCGACAGGCGAGACGACCGGCCACCGCCTCAGCCACGTAAGGAGTCGCGCAGCCGCAGCCGCAGCCCGTTGTTCAAACGACGGGCTGTCCGTGACCGCTCTGAGAGTGCGGGTCGGCAGAGAAGGCGGGGCGGGGATGAAGTTGACAGTGAGAAGGAGATGCGGCGAGATCGGCCGGGGCGCAAGGGGTCTGTGTCCCGGTCTCGGTCTTCGTCGAGGTCGAGGGACAGTCGAAGCCCCAAGAGGGGAGGGGTGGCAAGAGGGGCTGGCTGACTGACTGACTGTCTGTGGATGGATGCATCGCTGGCCTGCCGTATGTGTGTGTCTGACGTGTGCGATGGCTGGACGGGACACACAATGGATGACAAGGAGACACAGACAGACACACACGTGAGTTGGACTGGATGAGATGGAGTGGATGGATGGATGGATGGATCCATCCATGTCATGTTTCTTGCCTATTTCTTGCCGACACTTGGCAGACGGAAACACGCGACCAGATATATATCCATCATTCTCTCTGTGCAGTGGTCGTTGAGGGGCTCACAGACAGACCGACACACAGCATGACTGAATCAGACAGTGCGACTCATTGGAATGCATGTGTGTGTGTATGTGTCTGAGAGTGTGCGGCCGCAACTTGACAACCTGATCAATCAACTGACTGAATCACACAGAGGCTTAATCCATGGGATGAGTCCACTCCACCACGCAGTCACCACGAGAGAGAGAGAGAGAGAGAGATATGGCAGCCAGGTGAGTCAGCTAGGCAGCCAACCACATTCTCACACCGGCCGGAGCGTCACATCGAAATCGGCCGGCAGCCAACCGGACCGCACCACATGCACTCACACCCACACCCACACCCACAGGCAGCCATTCGGTCACACAGCAGCAGCAGCTGGTCGACACAGTGAGCGGTGGGCGATGTGTCTTGAGGAACAAACCGATCGGCGACAGAGATGAATGACGACAGCCAGCACCCAACTTGATATGCCCTCCTGACAACACACACACACCGAGGGCAGGGCGGCACTCAGCCACATGGTGACGAAGGGGATGTATCGCTGCGCACCCACCAGTGCGTATTGGCTGATGGATCGGTCAGCCGCCACCCTCCGCCTCAGCTGCGCCACCCTCACCTGCCCAAGGCACAGATACACACACACACACAGACACATGATTGTGATGGAGGTCGACGTGGGGGCCTCTGTGGTGTGTGTGGCTGTGTGACTCCCATCATCGTCACTCCCATCATTACCGCCCTCATCGCTGGCGTCATTCATATCGTCACTCACATCATCGCCGCTGCCGTCGTCGGCATCTGCACACACCCAGACCATCGTCCGACTCTATTTCACACACACACACAGAGAGGGCACGTCATCCGTCAATCCACCGATGAATGTTTGAATGTGTCCCTCTCTGTATCTGTACCATTGTCATCGTCATCTTCATCTTGCTGTTGCTGCTGTTGCTGTTGCTGCTGCTGTTGCTGCTGTTGTTGTTGCTGCTGCTGTTGCTGCTGCTGCTGTGGCACTTGTCCGTCGAATACGAATGGCGCCGCCGCCCCCAACACCGCGCGAGCCAGCTGAGTGGTCAACGGGAAGCGGTGCTTGAACAAACCGCCCTCACACACAGCCGCCTCAGTGGTCTGGACATACACAATCCCCGCACACAAGGGGAAGAAAAACACCGATGACAATAATAACATTTGACCAGCGGCGACTCGGTGAGCAGATCGTCCAGACGGCCGCCACCGACATCCCTGAACAGACAGACACCACCACCGTGGCCCACCCCAGTTATGCCCTTGTTGTGTCACCTGTTGAGTATAGTCAATATATACATATATGTGTCAGTGGTCTGGTGAGTTCTGATGAAGTGGTCGAGGGTCTTGTAATTGACAAACGACGACACTGACGCATTGGTGAACGGGCCACCGCTCGACACCCATCGGCCACGGACGGTCGAGTAGAAGATGCGGCTGCGCACTGGTAGGTCGTGTGGCTGTCTGTGTTGCTCATACAGATGGCCGGCAGGGAGGGGCGGGTCGACCTCCAACTCAAAGCCGGGCTCGTCGATGATGGCCCGCACGTCCTCATTGCCGTGCTGGAACAGCTGCATGCAGGTGCCATCACTGAAGTGGACGTGGCGGCCGACCATCTTGAGCTGCGCCAACACACGGGGAGCCGACACATACGCCTACACACACATGACCACATACAGACACACACCACAGACAGAGAGAATGAGGCCCTCCCCGCCCGTCTGTTTGCCGGCTCACCGTTATGTTTGCGTGTGTGTTGATGTCAGCCCCACCGAGGGTCACAGGCAGCTCACAGTTGCCGCACTGCCCTGCCAGCTCAATCACCTCGGCCATCTCGCCCCAGCCCCCCTCCTCGCCCCAGCCCCCCTCCTCCACCACACACACAGCCGCCAGCAGATCATGTGTGCCGAACTGGTCGTCGTCGAACCGCAGCAGCTGCACTTGCTGCCCATTCACCGCCCGCCGCAGCCCCGCCTGTGAGCCCAGCGAGTGGCTGAGCCGATCCCTCAGCTGGGCCGCTCCGAAGAGCTCTCTGAGCCACGTGCAGGCGGCCCTCAGCCGCACGACGTCCTTGATGCTGAGGAGGTAGCGGCTCCTCCGGCCCACACACAGGTATGACACGAGGTGCTGCTGCTGCTCGTGGTGCTGCATGGGATGGATGGGCCAAGACGGTCAGATGAGTGAGGCGCTCGACAAGAGAGAGGCTGCACAGTGCGACAGAGCCGACAAAGGATTGTGTCCATTAAGCACGCTGCTCACAGATCTGTGTGCTGCTCACCTCGTTCGATGCTCGGACGGACAGATCAGAGAAAGGTCAATGAGCTAAGACCACCAGCACCAGCAGCGGCAGCGGCAGATGAGGAGGCCGCCATCGCTCCTCAGCCACGCTGCACCGATGGGCGACAGACACAGAGAGAGAGAGGCACACAGACAGACAGACAGAAAGGCCAACGCATTCATTGAGGTGAGTGCATGAGCGTCACTCAGTCAGTGAGTCAGTGAATCAGTGAGTGTTGGGCCTCCCTCCCCTCTGTTTGTGTGTCAGCTCAATGGCCTGCCACCCCACAGCAGCAGTCGAGAGGACGACTGACTCAAGGGACTCTTTTCGCCCTCTTGTCAGCCGATTGCCTAACTCTCGCAACGCACAGCTGTCCGACAAGGCCACAAACGCCGCACTTTGGCAAATCGCGGGGCTATAGGGTAACAAACCCTTTGACCCCTCGTCAAACCCTCCGGCTCTCCAGCTGCTGCCGGGATGTTGTTCCGGAGTTATCTTCGGTTGGGTTCGCATCTGCGGCCTCGACCGCGAGACCACAATATGTTCATGCTGGGTACGGTACTCTCACAGAAACGCGCACGCACACCCCACCACACGTGGATAGAGGCAGACCACCACCGCCAGCAGGCAGCAGAGAGCAAGATCAGCATCAGGGCGCCGCTCTGAAATCGTTGTTCGCCTCTCTGTGTCTGTGTGTGTGTGTCAGAGGCGCCGCACACGTACAATGGTGCGCTGCCTCCGGTGCGTTCGCGTTGCATCGACACGACTGGGAAGCGGCTGCGTGGTACGGGTCTGCACGGCCCCGAGAACACGGACGTCTTCAAGCTGGTGCTGTTCAACCTCCTCAAGCAGCGCCGGCCGCAGCTGCACATCGCCACGCTCGAGGAAATGCGTGACTTCTACAAGCTCGACGTCTCCTTCGTCTGGTGGTTCATGTCCTGTATGGTCAGTCATAGTCACTCACAGAGGGACGGCTGGTGTGGGGTGGTGGTCATCTTTGCGCTGTCTGTCTGTGGTGTCTGTGTCTGTGTTTTCAGTGGATTATGATCCCGATGTCGAGTTTTTCGCTCCTCTACATCACGCAGCACGACCACTACCCCTGGACAACCAAACGTCTAGGTACGCGTAGCTACGCTGCCTGGCGCGAGCCCTTGCTTCACCTCAGCCAAATGTGTCGTTATGTGTGTGTGTGTGTGTGTGCAGACGGTAGCAAGGGCCCAGGCCCCTTCTGGTGGTGCCTCATCTAGCCTCTCGCTCTGTCGCGGACGACACCATGTGTGCCGCGGTGCACAGTGCTGGGAGAGGCGACCCTACCCACCACAGTGCGGTCCAACACACTGCTTGTCATGGCCATGGTGTGATGCTTGCTTTTGACGGACGGGCCAGGTGTCTTGTGTGAGGGGTGTGACATGGCGTGGTGTAGCGTGAAGTACGTTTGCCTACCGTTTTGTTTGTGTTGCGCGTGTGAAGTGATTTATGGCTTCCTCTGTGGCCTCGTCTGCCGAACCGATAGACTCACATCTGTCTGTCTATCAGTTCAGCGGACAAGGCTCTGCCGGCACAGCCATGAACACCTCGCCACGCGCACTCACACCAGCCTGCCATCAGGGAAGGCCTCGTTCGTGTCCGTTGTGTGACTTGATGCGATTGCTTTTGCCTCTTGTACTTCTCCTCTTTCGCGCGGCGGTCGATCACCAGAGATCCGATGTTGACTGCCCACGGCAAGACGGAGGGGTGGGAGACGGCAAAGGGCAATCGCAGACATGCACGGCAGCAGCGGAAACAGGCTCGTTTCAACGTAGTGAGTGGGCGGGTGGATGGTCGGTGAATGCATCATTGTGTGCGAGGGTGCGTTCTGGAGTGGGTGTGTGTGTACACTAAGCAGGACTGTGTGCTCGGCTGGCTGAAGGACAAGTTTTTCTCTCAATGCGCTCACAGATGGACTCAACCATTGATTGACTGATGGGGCGATCTCAAAGCTCTCAGCTGCACTATCGCCACGACAGAAAAACGTTTGCACAACCAACCAGTGGCAGTATCGCTACGACAGAAAAAGTGTGGCAAGAGAGACAGACAGCCACCACATGCGTCGAGCTATCTATCTCACCCTCTCCCTCCACCCCCCCCCCCTTCGAGCACGTCTGGCCCGATGTGCGGATGCGTCAGCACCTCGGATGTACCCGAAACAAACCACACAGTCTCTCACAACATGCCACCACGATCAAATTGAAAGAGCTGCATGAACCACACACACAACTCCCCCTTGAAGTTGCCTGGTCCGCCTCCACTGCCCTCCCTCTCCCTGTCAGTCGATGCCCAACGACACAAACACTTCAGTCCCCTTGTCGATTCGCCCCAGCTGCTGCCACGTAAATTGACAGTCCTGGTCGCCCAGGTGCTCGTTGAAGCCCTTGACCACCCCCTCCGGTGGTATCCCATGGCTGACCGCCTCGTCCAGCCGGGCCCGGTGCACCACCTCACGCACTCCCGTCAGCACCACCTGCCCGCCACTGCCACGGACGGCGAAGCACTGCAGCGGCGGCACGGTCACTTTCACGCGCTTGTCGCCCTGCTGCTGGTGTCGCGTCCCGCCCACCACCTCCCTGTTGCTGCTCGTCTGTGTGGCCGCCGACTTGACGAAGTGGGCGACGGCCGCACGCACCCGCCGCCTCAGCACCGACTCGCCGATGAGGTACTGGTCGATGGCGGCCACAGCAGCGGGGGGCTCGTGTAGGAACGCGCCGATCTTCCAGCCGATGGCCTCTGCCTCGTGTGGGCCGAATGCCATGTTGGATGGGGAGGGGTGGGGGTGGGCGCCGTCGTGGTGGGGGGCGAGGGGCAGCAGACGGGCGAGAAGCATCGAGTGGTCGCGCTGGGGGGCGAGGGCGCCGTTGATGGCCGACATGACGGCCTCGGACAGCTCACTCAGAACTGTGGCATACTCGGCCAGCACCAGCTGGCGACGACGGCGGTCCTCCTCAGTGGCTGTGGGCACGCGGGCGATGGATGGGGCCGCCCCGCCCCGTAGAAGCACACGGATGGTGGTCTTGTAGTTGCGGATCCGTCTTGAGCGCCCCTCTTCCAGCTGCTGCAGCTGCTGCTGCTCCTGATCGAGCTCCTCGGCAGCGACGGCGATGGGTGTCCGGTTGGGCTGGTTCAGCAGTCCCCTGCTGACATCGTCAGCCGTGAGCTGGCGGCACAGCCAATCAGCCACACAGGGAGAGCCCCTGTATGCGGCCGCCACGTGCAGTGGCGTACTGCCGAAGTTATCTGTTGCCGTCATGTCGGCTCCGTGGCTGGTGATGAGGTTGAGGTACTGGTCGATGAATTGCTGGGAGAACGCAGCATAGCTCCTCGCTGCCTCATGCACCAGACTGTCTCCAAAGGACCGTTCGGCTGCGAGTGTGCTATCGCGTTGGATGAGGCGACGGTACACCGACATGAGGGCGTCCTCGTACTCACGAGTGGCGGGAGGGGCATAATCAGGGATGTAGGGAAGCCGCATCACCCTTAATCCCCGCACGTCGGCCTGCCGCGCCAGGAGGGTATCCACTGCCGTCAGATTGCCTGCCTCAATGGCCACCCTGATGGGCCTCTCCCGTCCGCCTCCGGCCGCATTGACGTCCGCCCCGCCGTCGACGAGTGCATTGATGATGTCACGCTGCAGCTCACGGGAGGACCACTGCGGCAGCAGCACGGGCACCCCTTGGTCAACACCGCTGTTTGCGTAGAGGAATGGGCGGTTTGTTGGGCGGTCGATAACGAAACACAGGCAGCTGTATCGCCAGTTAGGGTTTATCCCTGAGATGCCGCGGACGCGCAGGCTGCCGATGGCTCCCGGGTCGGCCCCTTGACGGATGAGCCGTGTGACCTCGGCCTCCGTGAATGTGCGCCGAACGCAGCCCTCCAACAGCTGCCGATCCACACGACTGACGCTCCTACCAGGGACGAAGTCACGGATGATCTCGACATCGTCCAGCCGCCTGCAGCCGAGCGGCAGCGGTGCAGCATGAGGTGCTTGGGATGCGGCGGACGACGAGTGGGCCATCACGCTGAGTCACACACACCTGCATACACACGGGAACGCACAGTCAATCAGCAGCATTCCCTCTCCCAACGCTGCTGGGCACCTGTGCCCTGGTCGGTCAGTCGACGGCCGCCACTCACTCAGTCGCACTCAGGGCCCTGCATGCATCACAGAAAAGCACAGTCACCCTTGCCGCCCGCGAGTGGTCAGACTCTGTGCACGTCCATACCTCAGCCATGAAAAGGTGACTTGAGTCCAGAAGAGAGCCGATGCCTCGTAGCAACGAAGCCTTCCCAAAGCTCTTCTCCTCTTCACCTCGGGCGCTGCGCTCCTGCTCCCGCCACCAATTGCGAGCTTGAAAGTGGGCAAGGCTGAGCAGAGGGGCTGTGTGTTCGTCATGGCGAGTGGTCAAGATCTGCCGCTCATGAGCCTCAGGAGGGGCTGCAGGAGGACATCGTGACGGTATCATGAACATGCAGCAGATGCAGCAGCAGCAGGGGAGTCAACACAGGTCAGATGAGTCAGATGAGGAAAGGAATTGTGTGTCATGACACCCAGTGCAGTGAGAATGTGTGCAGGTCGGTGACTCGAGCGTTGAAGAGGGGTGCGGATCTGACGGGTCGATGCCTGCGGACGACTGGCGGGGCGCTTTCTGTTGTCGGTCTTATTGTTATCTTTGCGGAGCTTGCAAGGCCCCTGGGCGCCTTCCACCACACCAACGTTGTCCAGAGTCAATGGCCCATCATCCGAAAGGCCCGCCAGACGTGGGCCATTCGGGATGAGTCACTGACAGCCTTGCACTCTTCGCTCGTTTTATCTCGTGGCGACTTCTTCATTGACCGCCTTGGCCATTCTCTGTGGGTGCTGGGGGCCGGCAGGGCAACCCAGCCATCAGAGATTGTGCAGCTCGACCCGAAGGCCTACGACATCTGGACACTGAAGCCAGAGCTGCCGTATCGTGGTGTGGTGGGCAGCTCTCTGCTGATCCCTGCGCTGGAGGTGCGGGAGACGCTGAAGCAGGTTGACCGGTGGCTGACGGGCGAGGACCCCTGCGACGCGCTTGACGAGATAGAGGGTTTGATAGAGGCCTCGCCGATGAGCAACATGGCGGAGCTGAAGGAAAGCTTCAACGAGTACAGTGACAACATCTACTTCAAAGACCCGGTAGGCCCTGGCGCACAGACGCAGACACTCGTATCTCACATGGCGTATCTCACCTTTTCCGTTCCGGCTGTGTGTGTTCATTCAGGAGAGGTGGAATGTGTACCTCCAGGGTGCGGTGCCCACGACCTACCACACACAGCAGTACCTGCTCAAGAATGCTGTCCTCAGCGACCTAGCAACGCTAATAGACGAGATCGACCTCCTGCTGCGGCTCAAGCGCGTCCAGGAGGGAGAGGACCTCGCGTCAGTCACGCCGTCATCAGACATGCGGCAGGTGACAGTCGAGGGCCTCACTGTGGCGCTTGGCACTAGCGGCGAGCAGAGGGCGGCCAGCAAGATCAAGGAGGCGGTCAAGAGCGACCTCACCTTCGATGAGGCATTCGATCGGGAGTTTCTGCGTGCGTGTGTTGAGAGGACCCTGGACAACCTGGGGGAGTACTTGCAGATGGCGAGATCTGACGACCTGGAAAGTGCTGAGAGATCGTTCAAGCGAAAAACACGGCCACAGGCAAGGCTGGCGGACAACAGCGAGAGGACACCCTGATGTGTGCAGTGCTCGTGTCGGTCGGTGTGTTGTGGACGGTGTGACGGCCGTAAGGCCTTGGCTCGTATTTGTCGGTCGCTGTGACGTTTGTCGGTAGAGGTTGGCACCTCACACAGTGAATTCACTCAGTCAGTCAGTCGATCAGTCACGATGGCAGAGTCCATGGCATGGATGGATGGATGTGTCTTGACACGATGGACGCGACGAATGAGATGGATGGATGGATGGATGCAGCAGCAGCCGGTTGGTCAGTGGCCGGCCATGCCAGCGCATTCACACACGAACCCTGCACCACGCGTGCGTGCCACCAAGACAGTCACTCACTCACTCACTCAGCAACCAGTAAGGAGCTCTCTCACGCTACACAACACACAACACACGACACACGACATCACGTGGCGTGGCGTGACACCACAGCACATCCCAGCACAGCACAGCGTACGTCATAGGCACGCAGCGCACCTCGGCAGCAATCAATGGTGCCCACGTTTTAAAAGATGCGGCGAGTGGCCAGGTTGGTCTCTCTGCCTGCCTGCCTGCCTGCCTTGCTGTCTGAGTGGATGGATGACTGGATGGCTGGATGGCTGTCGGTCGAAAACTGATCATCGCTTTGCTGCATTCGTCATGAGTGCAGCCAGCGAATGGAAAAACCTCAATACGCTGTCAGTAATGTGGTGTGCCAGTCGACACCTGTTGCGCAGCAGAGTCATCCTGGTGTCTCCAGGGCGAATCCGCAACGTGACAGCCCACGACTGACTGACACGCACACGAGACAGCGCGATCCACTCTCTCTCGCTGCTGGAGAATGCTGGTAGCATCACAGCCTGCCTGTCTGCCAGCCAGCCAGCCAGTCAGTGTCAGTGGTCATGTTGGTACGTTAGATATCGACTAGGTAGAGAGAGTGGATCGGATCAGTCAGTGTCTTAGTCATTCATTCGGTCACCGTGGTCAGTCAGGTCTCCTCATCCAGTCGATCGAAACACAACGAAAAAAGAACCTACGATAGATGCCAGCAGAGCAGCCACCAGGCGGGGCGGGCAGAAACGATGGATGCTGCAGTGTCCCTCCGTCTGTCTGTCCGTCCTGGCTGCTTGGCTTGGTGCGACGGTCATCAAGTGCATGGTGGGAGTCGAGTCGGTCTCTAAAAAATGCTCTTTGGGTGCGGTGCGAATGTCTGTCTGTCTGTCTGTCTGTGTGTGCGAATGTATCAAGCGATGGAATAAAAGCCAACCAACCGCCCGTTGATTGCTGCTGCTGCGGTGTATCCGATACTGTGCCGTGGTGCGTAGCCTTAAATCGAAACAAACAAACACGCAAAAGGCAGGCAGGCAGGCAGTCATGATTCAGACAGAGAGAGTGGATAGATATATATAGTTCTTGACATATACGTTTGGGGTCACAGAGAGATCACTAGCCAGCCATTTTGTGTGCACGTAGGTAGGCGCGGGTTCCCACCCGCCCTTTTGCTGCGCACACACTAAGCACACACACCACACCACACCACACGACACCACACGCACACGGCATTTCAACTATAGATAACATACCGCTTAGCATCCATCCGTCCATCCAGCCATGCATCATGCACCCTGTACCAGTCGCCACGGAACGATCACACGACCGACCGACCTTGAAAATCCACTCACTCACTCACAAGCAGCAGACACACATGCACGGCCATCGTTCCATCTGGAGCAGCCACATGCACACCGACATGGAGCAAGGAGCAATACACACACACACACACACACGACACACAGCAAGGCAGCCAGTCGACCTTTCTCTCTCCCTCTCTCCGTCAGTCGGTGTCAGAAAAGGACGGCGAGCAGGCGAGGCCCCGGTTGGCCTGCCCGCCGTCCTTGTCCACGCCACACCATTTCGCGCCCACACAGATCGGCGCACCAATGGAGTGGCGTGTGGACACAGACACAGGCACCACACACATCGATCGACCGGCACGTCCAAAAATCCCTCTGCACGGGCACATACAGACGCACACGCGCGACTCGCACACCCAGCCACCGATCCGTGGTTGATCCGCATCGGCAAACAGCCTCACAGATCCACTTGTCCGTTCCATGCGAGCAGCGAGTGGCGAGCGTGCGCGCGTGTGTGTGTGTGGTGTGATGTGACATACATGGCGGAACACGGTGTGAGGGATGTGTGTGTGTGTGTGTCTGTGTGTGTGTGTGGATGGATGGATGGATGATGATCAAAAGCGGTCCGTCCACTCGAAGACAGACGGACATATAGGCAGGCAGACAGGCATTGACGCAAACGGGCCTCACCGGCCTCACCATGCCATGCCGAATTAGCAGATACGTACGGGGGGAGGATGTGCGTGAAAAGATGGAAATATGTTGGTTGACCAAACGGTGCATGGACAATGGACAAAGGACAATGGACAATGGACAAGAACCGCAGGCACACAGGCAGGCACACAGGCAGGCAGGCAGGCAGGCAAGACATGTATGCTATCGAGCGAGGGATCGTGCGGGCTCTCGCCTCCTCCCTCCCTCCCTCCCTGGCTCTCTCTGCCTCCCTCCCTCCCTCCTTCCCTCCCTCTCTTCAAGTGAGTTGAGTGAGTGAATGTTGAAAAAGACGGCCCCCCCTGCAAGTCACTTTGACTGTACAGCAGCAGCCTAGCCCTTCTCAACCAGGTCACCCAGCCAGCCACCAGTAAGCCGCCAAGCACACAAGCACACAGGCAGAAAGAAAGGTAGTCAGACAAGACAGCCCAGCCAGGCACCCACCCACCCACGCCCCCCTCCTCGAAGGAGGCATCAAAACTCACCCCCCTTTCGACGCCAATTTTTCCCCGAGTAGATCTGTCTCCCCGACGTGATGCCATTGCACGGCACCCGCTTCTCACGCACACCCTCCCTCACACGCCCGCCCTCGCGAGCATGGCGCTCGGTCGTGTCAATGCAGACACAACACCACACACCACACCCACCCCCTCCACCACCGTCGAACACCCCGCCGCCCCCACCTCCAGGCCCCCCATCAGCAGCCGCGTGTGTGTGTGTGTGATGGTCACTTGGAGGGGTCGAGGTCGGGGATGTCGGCCCGGTATGACGCGTCGGCGGCGTACCAGTCGGTGTACTTATACATGCAGACTGTAGCGTTTCTGCCGGCGACCTTCTCCTCGAACTCGCAGAGCTGCTCCATGAATCCGATGTTGGGGCAGATGATCTTGCGTTTGGCCATGACATGGAGGAAGGCCTCCTGCAGGCAGAACTGCCGCTTGTAGATGAGGAAGGAGATGAGGATGGTGACGGACCGGCTGATGCCCGACTTGCAGTGGATCAGCACCGGCTCCTGACGCTCCAGGTAGCTGTCGACGAACTCCGACGCCTCCAGGAAGAACAAATGGATCGGCTCACGCGACACGTCCTCCACGTCAACACGGTAGTAGTCCACGTCAGGCACCAGCAACGAATCCTGACAGACAGACGGAGGGACAGGGCAAGAATAGGTGGCATCGTCTCTTTGTTTGTTTGTGTGGGTCAGTATCCGGTTCAGACGCACCGGGAACTCTCCGTTGGTGCAGCAGTTGACGATAGCCTTGATTCCCACGCTGGTCACGCCCTTGTGGTCTTCAGCGTCTTTGATGCCTCCCAAGTATAGCCCAGGAATGATCTGCACACACACACACACACACACCCCAGTCCAGAAGGGCACACACACAGACCCATCCCATGAGCAGTGCCATCCTTTTCCCTGTGCAGCAAGTCGATTTGCTGACTGACTGACTGACCTCGTGCATCCAACTCGGGGCGCTCCTGTGTCTGACTCCAACAGCAGCAGCAGGTGGCTCCAGGGGAAGGCAGACCGAGTCGATGTGGGGGTCGAGGCATGCAAGCGGGTCACTCTCGAACGCCGACTGGACCATCCGACACCCAGTCGACACGCAAAACGGACGGAAACGAGGCCACAGGCTGCGACCTGCCCTCCGGCGCCTCCTGCCTGACCGGTGAGAACCCCTCGGGTGGTGTCCCTCTGCGTCGGTGGAAGGTGTCCTGCTGGGTGGTGTCCGATACTTGGATATGGTGTCCGCCACGGGGTTGGGCACTACCGACCCACCCGACCGCACACGTCGGAGAGCACCCGCCACGACGATCAACACCGAACCGACACACACGAGAACCTCTCAAAAGTAGTGTGAACCACCCTCTTTCTCCTCCTCGGGGCGAGCTTGACGGCCAGCTCGCAAGTCAACACCGACCGGGGTTTTTCCCGCTATTGGATGCACTGTTGGTGTCCTCACACTTGCCGTATGTCAGAAATCGCCGTCCGCAAGAGAATCTGAAGCAATTGATCTGAAGCACCGGTTGGAGCGAACACACACGCACACACAGGGAGACGATGAAGCAAATGCTGTGTGTGTTTCTCCCCCATTGCTTGTCTTCAGGTGTGTGTGGGGTGGTCGGTTCGTTGACCTGTTTGTTTGTTGAGGGATGAGTGACGCCGCATTCCTGCAGAAGAAGAAGGAGGCCCAGCCTGCCGGGCATGAGAGGCTAGGCCTGCCTGCCTCACGGCAAGCTTTTCCCCCCTCTGGTACTGGTACAGCTGCTGACATGACCCCTTCCCCTTCATCGCGGCTCAACACGCTGAGGGACACTATCACCACTTACGCCAACACCGTCGAGCGGTCGGAGAGGCGGCGGGCGTCCGTGTGGCGGCATCTGCATCTGGCCTATCGAGTGGTGGGGTTCTTCTGCTTCTTCTACTTGTTTCTCGTCGCCTTGAAGTTCCTGACGGTTTCGCTCCTGCTGCTGAGTGTGACCTTCATCGGGCCGATGATAGAAAGGTCGCTGGACCAGCCCTTCTTGCTCAGCATGTTTGTGGGAGTCATCGTGTCGACCTGCATGCTCAGCCACACCACGGCCAGCTCAATCCTGGTCAGCATGGTCGCCACGCAGCACAAGGCACTCAGCGTCAGGCACGCCATCCCCCTGCTGCTCGGGTGAGCTCTCGCTTAACCAGCAGCACGATCGATGACACTTATGTGGGTGTTCGGTTCTCTCGATGTGTCTGTGTGTCTGTGTGTTTGCAGAGCCAACATCGGCACAACGATCGGCCCGCTGCTGGTGTCGTTCACTCAGGTGTCGCAGGCAGCCGATTTCAAGAACGCCTTCCGGTCAGCGGCGCTCCACCACATGGTCAACGCCCTCTCAGTGCTGCTCATCTTCCCCCTGGAATGGTCCTCCCACTTCCTCGAGCTGTCCGCCAAGGCCACGGCAATGGTCATATGGCGGCACGGGCACTTCGTGTCGCCCATTGACGCGATAGTGTCGCCTTTGCAGCACATGCTCATCGAGCTGGACCATGAGAAGCTCCTCCAGGCGGAGGTGGGTGGGGCGGTGGAGGGGTCTCTGGTGAAGGGCGGCGTGCTGAAGGGGGAGGCGTCTGACAACGTGGCTGGGGCGCTGGTGCTGCTCATCGCTCTGCTGGGGCTGATTGTGAGTGCGCTGGGGATGGTGGGCGTGCTGAGGGGCGTCCTGCCGCTGTGTGCCGACCGACTCGACAGGCAGTATCGGCTGTCTGGGACGACTGGTCGTGTGGGTGCGGTGGTGGTGGGGCTGGTGTGCACGGTGCTCTTCCACTCGTCGACGGTGGTGGTGTCGCTGATCGCTCTGCTGGTGGGGGTGGGGACGCTGTCATTCGTTGACTCTTTCCCGCTCATACTCGGGGCCAACCTCGGTAAGGAGAGCGAGCAGACAGACAGAGGAGCAACGAATGCGTAGCTGACGGTCTCGGTGTGTACGTCAGGGTCGACGTTCATTCCTCTGCTGGCCGCGTCGTTTTTGGGTCGGCAGACGTCGGTTGTGCTGGCCCTTCTTAACTTGTTCTTCAAGACCATGATGATCTGTATATGGTCAGGGAGGGAGGGATGACGGCTGTTGTGTGTGTATCATCTGTTGTGTGTGTGTGTGGGCGTGTGTGTGTGTTGGTGTCGTCAGGTATGTGATAGTTCCACTGCGTAGCGTGCCGCTGCTTCTGGCCTACAAACTGGGCGGGGTTGTCATTATATGGAGGTGGTAAGCACAGGCATCAACACATTCATCCATCCATCCATCCACTTCATGTCGTATGCAGGTTTGCCGTCCTGTACGTTCTCGTGGCGTTCATCGTCATCCCCCTCTCCCTCATCGCCATCACCACTTGCCTCACTGCAGCCAACCCACTGCTCATCCTCCTGGGCGTCATCCTGCTGCTCCTCTTCATCGCCGCGAGCGTCGGCTCCGTCTGGTGGTGGAAGCGCTGCGGCGGGCGGGAGGCGAGCATGCGGTGGTTCCACTTCACTGACATGACGACGTTCGACGTGGATAGAGACGAGATCTGGGGAGCTCATGGCGGCCGGCCAAATATGTTTGCCTTCGGGTGAGCGGAGCGGGGCGGGGAGGTGGTCGGTTAGCCGGTTCTCATCTGTCTCAATGATTTGTGTGGGTTCTGTGCGTTCTGTGTGCTGGTGCAGCCAGTCTCCCCGCCCTTCAGCTGCCGCATCAGAGGTATCCAGCGAAGCGGACGTGACCGACCGCTCGAGAGACCAGCTGCAGGACCACCACCACCACCACCACCAGGACACACGCACACAACACGTCCTCTCCCCCTCCCTGTCGCTCTCCCTCTCATCGCCCCGCATCGTCACGCCAATGCTGGCACCCAGATACCTCAACTGTCACCACCAGTACTACAACGAACGACCCACCGCCAAAAGCACCACCACTCAGCCCAGCCACGCCCTCAGCATCACCGACTCAGAGGGCAGGTTCGACACAAGGTGGTCAGCCGGCTTCGACAGCGGCAGCCTCTCGAGCTCCACAGCTGGCGACCTAGCGGTGGATGGCCAGCATGTGCAGGGCGGTGGCCAACATCGAGGCGTCCTGGGGGCCTGGGTGCAGGGGGGCACACACATGCATCAGCCGCCTCAGGCGCAAGAGAGCCAGAGGCCGGCGGGTGAGGGCAGGCGGACTGACGAGGGAGATGTAGACAGGGGGGGGAGAGGGGGGAGGGAGATGGGATGGGTGTGAGATGAGAGACAGCAAGGCAGGCAGGAAGACAGCCAAGCTTGACATGACAGGGGTGCTTCCTTCCATATGGCTGCTGGCTGATGAGCATTTCTTGTGCGCTGCATGGCGGGCGACCAGCATCCTGCTGGATGGATGGATGGCTGCTCGTGGGCTGGTTCTTCTTTTTCAACCATGACTGGCCATGCGATGTCATGCCATGCGCGCCTGTCCATCCCTCCCTCTCTCTGTCTGTCTGTCTCTCTTGGGTAGGTAGCAACAGCTCTGGGCTTGGTGGGGGTGGGGTGGGGGCGGAGGTTTTGTACAGTACACGGAGACACATGACATGCATCTTGTGGGGGGGGGGGGGTGGGTGGGCGGCGCCTGTTTGACGCGCTTTGGGTGCTTGCCTTGCCTTGCCTTGCCTGTGTGTCTCTCGCTCTCTACAATACGGCTAGATGAGAATCGCAATATATGCTGATTTGTTGCCAGGCCAGGCCAGTGAGTGAGTCAGTCAGTTTGTGTCGTGCTGATGTATGTAAAGGCAGCCTTCCAGACTTCCTCCCTCCCTAGGTGTTGTGTTGGCGCGTGGGTACGAGTGCCATTGTGTGCAGCTGACAGTGACAGACAGATGGCCATTCTCAAGTCCATGCTCTTGCGAAGCATCATCAATCAGCAGCAGCAGTGAGTGCTTGTCCAACCAACTCACTCAGCAGAGGCACATCCACACAAAGCACTCTCTCTCTCTCTCTCTGTCATCATATCTTGGTCTCATCGTCATAGAGTTCGATGCAGTCCGCTGAGAAGGAGCCGACTCGGTAGCTGTCCTGCACGGCCGCCCACGCGCCCTCACGCTTACGCAGTATCTGCACACACCACGACAGGTAACACACACACGCACACAAGACCCCTCTAATCAGTCAATTCTCCATCCCTCCCTCCCTCCCTCCCTCCCTCCATGGATCGCTGTGTGCGTACGTCGCCCTGCATGACGGCAGGGGCGGAGATGACGCCCATCTGCTTGAGCTTGGCCTTGTCGAAGACCACGCTGCCCTTGTAGAGGTACTTGCGTTTGTCGGGGGGGAAAGTGAGGGAGAACTCCGCCGTCAGCTGCCGGTTGCGCATGAAGAACCTGACCGACAGACAGAACACCAAAAACGCAATCAATGTCACGCACACCACACGTCAATTAGCAGCAATCGAGTCGAATCGGACCAGCTGCCCTTGGCCTTGACGTCTTCTCTTTCATACTCGACGATGCCCTTGTCCTGGTCGACAAACCTACACACACGCACACGCCATCGATATCCCCTCACACCAGTCTGTGGCAGCCAGCACTTCCATCCAGACCCTCTGAACAGCAGCCTGCCCTTGGTTGTCTGCCCTTCAATGGTCTCTTTGATCCTCCAAAGGCCCCTGATCTTGCTATACTTCAGCTCCCATATATTCTGCGGTAGGCCCCTATCATTCAGCTCGCGCTGGAACTCCACGGGGTCGATCTTCGCAGACGCCTCGCCCACCCAACTAAGCCACCCCGCGGCGATTAGAACCGGAGCCGCAAGCCCACCGCTGAGAAACGAGCGCCGTTGCAGCACCTGACTACCCTCCTCTCGCGGACAATCGTTGCGTTGCATGAGCAGAGAAGGCACGGCTGTGTCGGCATGCCTGCCTTGCAACGGCCGACCTATCCGTGTGGCTGAGAGTGGTCGCGTGGATGGCGAGAGAAAGGCAGGAAAGGCTGTTGATGTCCGCCTTGAATGAGTCTGTTTGCGATGGGACGGCGCCAGCGAGCCGTTCGAGGCGGGATGAAAGAACGAGAAGGCTGCTGCAGCTGCGGTGATAAGGAGAGAAGGCTGCCATCGCCGTTGTGGTGGTGATCTGGAGGGCTGTGCAGGGTGCCGATGGCATTCGGCTGAGCTCGATGAGGGTGCGGGTTGTGCATCTTGATGCATCTCCATCGACAGTTCTTCCATCGACATCTCGATGAGCTCTGGCCAAGGGAAGAACTCCAATCTGCAGTCTTAGCTCGCAAAAGATTGCGAGCTTGCGCAGATCTCCCTCCCCTTTTTTCCTCCTTGAGAAGAGCTGGTGGATGCCTTTTGAAGCCTCGGTGGTTCCCGTGTCCGAGCGCGCAGCATCAACCCCTGGGAGGAGCCCATCTGTCTGGCGAACGGAGTAAGTAAGTTCCTTGATGCGGCAGCAGCAACAGCAGTCTGCCGTCTGAGTGCAGAGCAAGCTTAGCCCAGGCCGGCCTTCCTTCCCTTTATGTGCGGGCGGCTGGCGTGACGTGACGATGCTGACCGGAATGCTGCAGCTCATCGCGTTGTGTGGTGTGCTCATCGCGCACCATGCGGTGGCCTTCACGCCCTCCCGCCCCTCCCCCTCCCTCCGCAGACACCCATCGGCACGATCACTCAGACCCACTCATGCTGCAGCCAGACCGTCCGACCGGTCGCTCACCATGGCTGCACCGCCAGATGCCCACACCTTCGGCAGCAGCGCGACGGCAGAGGAGATGAAGCACCCTTTTCTGCGTAACCTCAACTCGATACCCGAGATGTGGCCGCTGCTCACCGAACGGTTCGGTGACAGAACGGCGCTCAAGGACCCTTATCATGGGGGCGAGGGAGATGGGGAGGGCGGGAGGGCGTTGACGTATCGGCAGCTGGACGAGGAGATCCGCAGCCTGGGGTCGGGTTTGGCGACGGCTGGGCTGCTCAAGGGGGACAAGGTGACCTTCATTGCGGAGAACTCTCATCGGTGGATCATCACCGACCAGGCCATCATGCTCGCAGGTCAGTGAGAACACACACGTGCAGGCAGCCTCCCTCTCTCTGTTTCTGTCGTCTCATTCTGCGCGTAATGGGCCTCCCTCCCATATGGCCACTCATCTCATTTACCCACCCATACATCAGGTGGTATTTCTATCCCTCGTGGCGCGGCGGCCGATCTGAAGGAGTTGTTGTTCATCTTGGGCCACTCCGAGAGCTCCGTCATCGTGGCCGAGACCCCTGCCGTCCTCGACAAGCTCCTGCACTACGTCTACGTCGAGGCCCCCGCCCTCCCTGACGTCGACCTGACCGCTCTCAAGAAGCGGCTCAAGTTTGCAGTCGTCCTCTACGACGACCCGTCAGCCAAGGGCGGCCATCTGTCGCTGCAGGGCGTGGCCACCAAGTACCAGAAGAACCTCACGGTCTACGGCTATGACGCGCTCGTCACACACGGATCGACCTACTCGTCGGCCTTCCGGCCGGTGGCTCTGGGCCCGGACGACGTGGCGACGATCATGTATACGAGCGGGACGACAGGGCGGCCGAAGGGGGCGGTGTTGCGGCAGCGGAACCTGCTGCACCAGATCAACACCAACACGTTCTCGGGGCAGGAGATAGTGGACAAGGACAAGGATGGGCTGTTGGGGTACAATATGAACCCCTTCCCTGGAGACCGATTCCTCTCCATTTTGCCCACTTGGCACATCTTCGAGCGGGCCGCCGAATACTGGGGGTCAGTGATGAGCTACCTGGATCGATGGATGGATGGATGGGCGTGTGTGGCTGTGTGTCTTGCGCAGGTTGAGCCGCGGGACGGAGATGATTTACACGACCAAGCTGCACTTCAAGACGGACCTCAGCAAGTTCTCGCCCCATTACCTCATCGCCGTACCAAGGCTCTATGAAACCGTCGTCAAGGTCGCCATACAGACAGAGAGACAGGGATACACACACACGCGGACACACATAGGCATGGCATGGCATGGCTGGGTGGCATCGCGTCGTTCGTGCTCGCCTCACTCACACATCAGGGTGTTGAGAAGAAGTTCCAGGAAGGATCACCCGTCAAGCGGGGGTGCGCCACACACACACACACACACACACGTCTGCCCACCAATGCTTTGTGTGCTCGTGAACCCATCAGATTGGTCCGTTTGCTTCGTTCCGTCTCTCGCAAATACGTCAAAGCGAGAAGGATCGTCAGAAGTGAGACATTCATTCGCCCTACCTCCCAGCCAGCCACCCAGCCAACACACTCCCCACTCCCCACTTCCCACGCCACACGCATCTCTCCCTCCCTCCCTGTTTGTTTGTGTGACCCACCATACAGACCGGAACCTGTTTGACTTCAACCCCGGTTTCATCACGCGTCTGAAGTCCCGCCTTGCGATGGTGTTCCTGTGGCCGCTGTACAAGGTGGCGTCGGTGCTGCTGTGGAAGAAGATCAGGGACGGGCTCGGGGGCAGCATGAAGGTCCTCATCTCGGGAGGGGCCGCACTGCCCATGAAGGTCGAGGTAAGTGAGGAGTTGAACAGACAGACAGACAGACAGAGGGAGGGAGGGAGAGAGGGGTTGCTGGATGGATGGATGGATGTGCAGGATTTCTTTGAGATGGCTGACGTGCCTCTGGTGGTGGGCTACGGGCTGACCGAGACCTCGCCCGTCATCACCAACCGCAACGTCGACGACAACACACGGGGCACCGCAGGCACAGTCGTCACCGGCACACAAATCAGGGTCCGCACCACGCAACACAGAGGCCTTTTATGCAGCCATTGTCTTGTGTGTCTTGTGTGTGTGCAGATAGCCGACCAGGAGACGGGCGAGGTGCTGCCTGCTGGCAGAGTTGGTGTGATCGAGGCCAAGGGTCCGCAGGTCATGAGCGGCTACTACAACAACGAGGAGGCCACCGACGCAGTGCTCACGCCCGACGGATGGTTCAACACCGGAGACCTCGGCATGATCACACCCACTGGTACACACACACACACACACACACACCCTCCCAGCCACACACACACACATCTCCCTGTCTCCCTCCCTCTCTCGGCGTGCATCATCGCACCACCAGGTCAGCTGACCCTGACAGGTCGAGCAAAGGACACTATCGTCTTGTCGAACGGCGAGAACATCGAGCCGGAGCCCATCGAGGTGGACATCATGAACTCGCCGCTCGTCGACCAGGCCATGCTCGTCGGACAAGACGAGAGACAACTCGGTGAGTCTGGTCTGCACACAGTCAGTCCACCATGCTGCGAGTAAAGACACGCGCCTGTGCCTCCCTCTCTGTCTCTCAGGTGGCCTGCTGGTGCCCAACCTTGACGCCATGTGGGAGGAGGGCATTGTCACCACAGTAAGGCCAGACACACACACACACAGCAAAGGGCTATCGATCCGACGCATGGGCATTCGTTGATTCCATTGTGTGCGTGTGTCGCAGGAGGCGAGGGACAAGTACAAGAAACTCGTCGAAGAGAGCAGCGACGAGAGGGTAACCACCCCCAAGCACACCCGCATGGACGCCGATTTGTCTTGTCTTGTGTGATGTGTGTGTTGGTCTGGCCGTTCAGGCGTTGCGCAAGGCGGCCGATGAGCTGCAGAGCATCCCCGAGGTGGATGCGGCTTTACGTCGGCTGCTCCGTGAGAAGAGCCAATCACGGCGGCCTGACGAGGCCGTCCGGATGTACCGGCTAATCCTGCAGCCCTTCTCACAGGAGAACGGATGCCTCACACAAACGTTCAAGGCAAGAGAGAACCATTGGCACTTCCCCGCCCCTCTCCCTCTCCCTCTCCCTCGCAGACCCTCCCGTCTGTGTGCATCTTATTTATGCCTTGGCAGGTGAAGCGGCATGTGGTCTTGTCCAAGTTCGGCGACGTCATCGACTCCATCTACAATCCCCAGAAGGCCGGTCTAATTGACAGAGTCCGCAGCACCATCGACAAGCAGACCGACAAGATACGCGACCAGGCCGACAAAGTGCGGGACACCATCTCCAGCAAGCTGCCTGACCTCCCTGAGTTCAAGAAACCCGAGTTCCAGAAGCCCCAGATGCCCGACTGGGGGCCGTTCAAACGCGGCAAGGAGGGCAAGGGCGGCGAGGTGGAGCAGCAGGAGCAGGAGCAGCAGCAGCAGGGGCAGCAGCAGGTGTTGAAGGGGGGCGAGGAGGGCATCACAGTGGCGCCAGCGGACAGGAACCACCATGAGGCCCATGTGGAGCACCACTTGGGTGTGGGGGAGGAGAAGAGAATAAAGGTCACTGAAGTGAGATGACAGAGAGCTACGTATACAGGACCGATTTGATGGCTGGTTGGGGTGGGGTGGGGTTGGGAAGAGCGGAGCGGGTGTCTGTACTTTACCCCTCTCTCCCACCCTGTCTCTCTCTCTCTCTCTGGTGTCTGCGTGACAAATCGACAGACAGACGGACAGCTATGAGCATAGCTGCGCATTCACTGATTGCAATGCATCGCAGCCGTATTTTTGCTTTGTTTGTGCGTACCTGTGTTTGTTTGTACGGAATGGACACACGGATGGATGGAAGAGTGACACGGGCGGGGCACGCAGGCAGGCAGGAATCACTCAGTTACTCAATCACTGATGAGGGCATTTTTCACACGCCACGCACACCTACGCGCGCGCGCGAGAGAGAGAGCTGGAGAGATGGTAGCAAGGCAGAGAGATGCGTTTTGCCGTCCGTCCGTCCGGCCAGCCAGCCAGCCGGCCTGCATGCACATCTGCAGGCCATTCATTCGTGTAAGGGGGGATGGGATGTGTACAGTGGGGTGGGCCGGGGTGAGTCGTAATGTAGCTAGGAGACGTGCGAGCGAAGGAGGCAAGGAAGGAAGCGGGGGGCTGCGAGAGAGAGATAGAGAGACCAGAGATGCTGCCACACACACACACACATCCATTCAACGGAGAAGGAGTGGTCGTGACACCGACCCCTCGCTCTCCGTCGCAGAGCTGCGGCGAGAGGGGGTGTTTGTTCAGTAAGACAGCCGGCCAGCTATCCATCAGAGAGCAGGGAACTTTTGGCGATGAGTGGGACACTCGATGGCCACATGGTATGATTTTTGACCATCCCCCATGCCACACACGTGTTCGCCTGCCTGCCCCGCCTGCCTGAGTGGTTTAATCGACTATGCCTTGCCTTGTATGGGTGCAGTGCACCCTGTGGCCGCTGGACCTTTCCGCGGCCAGCCAGCATCTTTGCATTTTCATGGTGTTTCTGGCTCTAGCTGGCTCTAGCTGGCTGTCGACTGTCGGTTGATGGTCGAGTGCTTCTGCACGCACGAGTGGCTGTCTGTCTGTGGCTGTCTGCCCAGTTTGTGTCAACACACCCCCCCACCCACCCACACCCACCCACACACGCATCAGTGGTTCTTTTGTAGGCTGGTAGGTGTGCTGGCTTGGCTGCATTGGCTGCATCTAGGTAGGTCTGTGAATGAAGTTGGTCGGCTGCCGGCCGGGTTAATGTCGGTGGATGGATGGATGGATGCCCTTCGATGGTGGGTGTGTACTCGTAAGTAAGTGTCACGGTCGCTCGATCTTTGTATCTTTGGACGGACGAAGGGAAAATGCAATGCTGCAGGGTGGGTGGGTGGCTAGACAGACTCAGAATGCCTCTCTCTGCCGGTCTTCCTTCAATGCTCGTCCGTCCTCCAAAACAGGTCTCATGTCCCCCTCCCTCCCTCCCTCCCGAGCAATAAGAAGACAAAAATACCCATGAAGGCAGGCATAAAATCAAATGGTGCTCGCACGCAGCACCGTCACGTCAGTCACGTCAGTCGGTTATCCACCCCGCATGGCGCCCTGCACGTCCCTCCAGGTACCGCCATTGACCACCTTGGTGTAGCCGAGCTTCTTGAGCGCGGCAATGCCGACGTTGGACCGCATCCCCGACGCGCAGAAGCAGACGATCGGCGTGCTCTTGTCGGCAGGCAGCTCGCTGGCCCGGCCCTCAATCTGACTGCTCACACACACACACACGCACACACACAGACACTCGGAACGACCAGGCCAGTGAAGGTGTACGCCTCGCTTGTGGCTGCTCCGTTTCTTTCTTACGTGTGTGGGATATTGGTGGAGCCCTCTATGTGGCCGCCTGCATATTCGCCGGCTGACCTTACGTCGAGGAGGAACCGGTTGGGGTTGGTGAGGGTGGCCTTCAGATCTGAGCGGCTGGATGAGCCCATCGCCATGGAGGGGCTGCAGCACGAGAAACACAGCTGCATCAATCAATGCGCCATAAGACGCTGCAGCATGTTTTCCGCTCGGTCACCTGGGAAGAGTGCGAGCTGAGCTGTCAGGACGGAGGGATTGAATGAATGCCTTGTCTGCTCCTTGCACTGAGATGAGTATTGCGTGCATCGGAGGTAAGGATGAGCGATAATTCTTTCACAAACAATCAGAAATATCGACAAGTGATCACTTCTCGTGCCGTGCCCAGGCTAGTCACTTTTCTCGCAGGTCAAGTGGGTATGGCTCTCCTGGCTGCATGTCATCAGGGACACCCACACACTCACAGATGGATACATACGATACATCCACCCACCCCCCTCCACACACACTCCCGCTGTCTAGCTATCTACACACCCCCGACGGACGACCGACCGAACACAGACACCCATACCACCGCTGCACACACACACACACTACACTACAGTGAATACGAACGATACGACACAGCCATCAAAAACACCGACCAGAGAATAAGAGATACCTCAACCAACCTCAACTTCTCAACACAACAGGCCAGGACGGACACCTTAACCGAAAACCGCATGGATCCGACCCGCGGATGTAGGGTGGGTGGCTGAAAACTGTGTAAGTGTGTGTGTGTCTGTACGTGTGTATGTGTGTGTGGCGGTGCGGCCGAGAAAACTAACTGGCCAGGCCATCATCAAACAAATGCATGTCGGCCGCCCCACCGCGACAGACCACACAGTCTCGGACCGAGAGATTCTCTGGCCTGACTGACTGCCATTGCCTTAGCCTTAGCCTTCGCCTCAGCCTTAGCCTTAACCGATTCGAATTAGTGCCCCCGTCACCTACCTCCCTGGTTGCTTGATGGCTGCTACCGATGGATGCATCGTTCATCGTTGACATCACTTGCGAAAAGGCAGCTCCTGCTGCTGTATCTCCCGCAGCGTCCTTCTGCGGAGGGTGATCGGGGGCTTCTCCTCGTCGGGGTCAATCTGATCCGGCGACAGATAGGTGGACATACAGACAGACAGACCGACCGAAAGACAGAAAGACCGATGGATGTGTGCAGCATGCACGCGTCGCACGGTGATGCCGTGTGCGCGCGCGCGTGTGTGTGTGTGTGTTTTGGCGATTCCGTCCTGACCTTTTGCAAAGCACTGTAGATTGACGAAATGACTAACAGCGCCTGGGACATCACAGCTGCACACAGACATACAGACCGAAACACACACACCAACTGGTGACGACGACTGTCTGTGCTCGTCTGTGCTCTGTGTGTGTGTGTGTGTGTGTGTGAGTATACCTATGGATGGTCCCTGGAAAATCTGAACGTCCACGAGGTATCTACAAGAGGCTATCCTATGCAGCTGCACCGTCAGCATGAGGTCCTCTGCTGCGCGGGACGAGCCGGCATGTGTGGGGGTCTGCTCCTGGATGGTCGGCGGCCGCCGCACCGGACGACACCTAATCTTGAACGGGCTCACCACGAACCACTCCTGCACACACGACGCAACAAAACACAACATGATTCGCTCCCGTGTGAGTGTCAGTGTCAGTGTGATGGCTCACGAAATCGAGCTTCTTGAGCGTCTGCAAGATCTGCGGACGGACGGACAAAACACACACTCAGCCACAGAGAGAGAAAATCATCAATCCTCTCTCCCTGCATGGGTCTCCCCTCTCCCCTTTCCCTCTCTCACCGCGACGACGAGTGTGGATGAGTCGAGGAGCGACTCGACGCCCAGCTTCCACCGCGACGACGACCACCCCACGCTCCCGGGGGACAACTCATAGGACATGATGGATGGCGTGGGGGTGGTGTGCGGCTGGGCGGACCAGCCGCGCACCAACGGAACCGGCGAAGCGGGCGGCACGGGCGACGCCTGCAAAGCAATCAGTGCATGTGGGTCGATCGGTCTGCGGTGCGGGTGGTGTGTCCTTACAGCAGGGCTGGGTTCGAAGCCGAGGACGCCTTTCTGGTGCAGATGCGCTACCTGCACAGACATAGATAGATAGATGGCATGACAACAGAGACGCCGTGAGTCACTGTGGGGCAGGGCAGGATGGCTCGCCCCTCTGTCGTGACCGACCTTCTTCTGTATGTGTGGAGGGAAGACCGTCGGCGCCAAAGGATCCTGCTCACGCGGATCTGCCGGCCAGATACCGAAGAAGACACATCAGCCGGGGTTCATGGCCATGGCCATGGCCCGCCCCCGGTTCTGCTTCCAGAATTACCTGTCGTGCATTTGGCCCTACGCTTGTCGAGCAGAAGCTGGTACGCTACCGTCTCCCTGGACAGACAGACACCCCAGTGTAGTGACAGGTCTGTCTATTTCTCTGAATGCTGTCACGTGCCTGCCTGCCTGCCTGTCTGCCTGATTGCGTGTCGGCCTCACATACATGTTGGGGAATGCCCCCGCTTTTGGATTGAGGTCGATACTGGCCTCGGTCACATCATAGCCCAACTGACAGACGCAGACAGAGACACACACAGGGAGGGAGAGAGCAAGGATCGATCACGTCGTACGAGGGTGTTGGGACACTAGTAGGCAGAGCAGAGCAGTCCACCTCGTTGAGTTGCGTGATGATGTCAGGGTAGACGGCTTGGTGAGAGGGATCTGCCAATGGCACCGAAAGGTACAGCGGCAAGCTCTGCCGAAACCATGCGTGCTTTCTGCACACATCCATGCCATGCATGGCCATGCATACCAACAGACACACGCGCACAGTCACAAAGGTATTGGAGGCCCTCTCCCTCCCTCCCTCCCTCCCTCCACCTGATTTCTCTGAATGTGATGCGCCTCGTGGGGTCGACGACGAGCATGCGGATGATCATGCTCCGCGAGAGCTCACTCAGGTGGCCTGGGAGCGTGAATCTGCCCGACCTGATCTTCTGCACAGACATACAGACAGCCAGACAGACAGACAGACGTCATTTCCTTGTGGGCTGTATGCAGGGGTGTGTTTGGTGTGTGTGCAGAGGCGCCCATTCACCTTGAAGAGGTTGGGCAGGCCCTCCTCATCAAAGGGCAGGTGGCCGCACAGCATGGCGAACAGCAGCACACCGCACGACCACACATCCACCTCTGGACCTGCATAGGCCCTGCAGGAGAGAGGGATGCCAGCAGTGAGTGAGATCTACGGCTTGCTGTGCTGTGTGTGTCGTCTGTGTGCGCGGCTGGTGGCTTACTTGCCCGACACGATCTCTGGCGCCGCGTAGTTGGGTGATCCGCAGGAGGTCTTCAAAAAGTCACCCTCTCTGCCAAGCCAGCCAGCCAGCCACAACGATATCACTCACTCTCTCACTCATGGGTCCATCCATCCACTCAGTCAGGTCAGTGCCGACAGACAGACAGACAGACAGACAGAGAGACTCACTGACTTCATCATGTTAGAGAGGCCGAAGTCGGCGATCTTGACGTGCAGGTTCATGTCTAGCAGCACGTTCTCGGGCTTGAGGTCCCGGTGGCACACCATGTTCTGGTGGGAGTACTCCACACCCGATACGATCTGCTGGAAGAAACGACGCGCATCGCCCTCCGATAGCTGACCACCACACAGCACACAGCACACAGCACAGCACACACGACACAGAGCGAGGAGTGAGGTGAGTGTGGCTCTGTTGCTGCGCGGCTAGCTGGGTCGGTCGGCTGGGAAGGGAAGATGGTTTGACACTCCTCACTCACCCGCCTCCTCTCGAGGATGTAGTCAAAGAGCTCTCCGGGGACGTACTCCATCACAATGAATATGTGTGTGGGCGTGTCGAGCACCTCATACCTGACACATACACCATACAACACACACACACAGACAGACAGACATCGTCCTTGTCTGTCTGGTGTGTTGAGTCAGTCAGGCTGCCTCTGTGTGTGCGTGTGTGTGTGTGTGTGCTTACAGTCTGATGACGTGTGGGTGTTTGAGCTGCTGCAGTATGTTGATTTCGCGCTTGAGTTTGCCGTGCATCTCCATGGCCTGCATCTTGAGCTTGTTGATCATCTTGATGGCCACCTTCTCGCCCGTCTTCTCGTGCACAGCAACTGGTGGACCAACCACACACACACGGGCGCGGCGAACAGCCAGCCAGACAGGCAGGCAGGCAGACAGAAAGTCATGCCTCCTTCCTTCTCTTCAGCAGGCATCTCCCCTCCTCTCCCCCTCGTTGCCTCTTCTCTTCTTACCTTTGACCTTCCCGAAGTTGCCCTCTCCTATCGTCTTGCCGAGCCTGTAAGGCCCTATGTTCAGAGATGACGCCGCCATGAGCAGCTGGGCGGGCGGGAGGAACGATATGGAGAACGCTCAGCCACACAGCCACGTGGGACAGTGCGCGCGACTCCCTGCTTCAGGCACTTGTCGTTTCAACTCCGAGATCAGCATTGCGAGCTTGTGGAGCCAAGGCAGTGGATTGCCTTCTGTGCAAATTGCTTCTGTGTCCTCTCCTTCTCTGTGTGTGAACTCCCGCCGCCAGTCGCAGAGACCGCCAGCCTTCCGTAGCCCGCCACCCACCCACCGACAGCACATCAAGGCAGACAATCCAGTCTCGGCACGTAAATGGAGTCAGAGTCTTTCTCTCTCTCTCGTGCACTCGCCGCATTTAAACATCCACACGCACCCCATGCTCTCGCGGAAAAGCTGACAGCTACAACGGACGTGTGTGTATGCACACACAGTGCAGAATTGAAAGTACGTCGAGCCACTCAGTGATCCGCTCGGCTACTGCACTGCACTGCACTGCCGCCC